CCATCCATCTATCCACCTATCTGCCCATCCATCCATCCATCCATCCAACCATCCATCCATCAACCCACATCCATCTGTCCGCCCATCCATCCATTCATCTGCCCATCCATCCATCCATCCATCCACCCGCACATCCATCCATCTGTCTGCTCTTCCATCTACCTACCCATTTATTTCTTCAAAAAACATTAATTGAAGGACTGATGTGTGCTGGGAAGTGCCAGGCAGTAGAGATACAGCAGTGAACAAAAACGGGTAGCAATCCTGCCATCAGAAATCCTGTTTCCTTATGAAGGGGACAGACAAAAACAGGACAGATAAGCAAGTTATGTAGTATGTCAAAAGTCAGTGCTATGGAAGCCCTAGAGCAGGGGAGAGGGACAGGGACTGTGAAGGGGCAGCTAACATTTTAACAAGAATGGTTGGGAACAGTTCCTCAGAGAGGATGACATCCTTCTTACAAGGAGAGAGGAAGCTGGCCACAGAGGTACCCACAGAGGGCAGAATTCCTGACAGAGGGACAACAATAGCAAGGTCTGGAGCTGTGGTGCCCTGGCATATTCTAGAAATAGAAAGGCAGTGCAGCTGGGCCACTGGACCCTACCCAGAGGGTAAGGAGGAGAAGGATCAAGCAGGCACCGAGGCCACTGGTTGGGATGAGAAGGCCTGAGAAGCATCGGAGCTAAGTTCAGTGATCCCACTTGGGTTTTAACAGCATCAGTCTGGCTGTTGTGTTTAGAATAAACAAAAAGGAGTGACATAGACCCAGGGAGCCTGGAGAGGAGGAAGTCCAATGGTGTGAGTGAAAGACACCTGCGTAGGACAGGGCTGCGGCTCATAGGCTGTGCCCACACAATGCTAGGGGGCGCCATTGCAGCAAACGTTGTTGGAGTAGTGCCATAAGATCCTTCTGCTTCGGCCAGGGAGTTGGCAGTGGGTGGGATGAACAGTGCTAGGGTTCTGGATCTATTTGGAAGCCAAGTCCAACAGGACTCGCCAACAAGGGCCTTTTCACATTGGAAATGGAATCACCTTTTATTGTTTTCCTCAGAAGGTTCCTCTCCACAGACCAGGCACAGGGTAGAACTTTCATTTCGATTCTCAAGAACCAGCAGAATGGCACCGAGTGTTCCCCTGGTTTTGTCACATAGGTCATCAATCTCCCCAGAGCCTGGGGAAGACAGAGTAGAAAGTGAGCCCAGATATATCTTTGGAGACAAGGTGCCTATAAATAGAATGTCATATGTGGTCAGTGACATGGTAGGAATTTGTGTTTTCTGAAGGGAAAAATATTTTGTCTTTGATGGATTTTCTGTTTTACAGACATAATTAATCACAACGTCTTAAGAAATCAATTTCTCTAATAGCAAAAATAATCTATGTTTTGCCAACTAGAAACACCACTTTTATTTAAGAAACACTGTCCCTTGGTTGATGTACTTTTTGGCGCCAGGAGCGAGAATTCTGTCCATGTGCACAGATTATAATGATTCACTGAGGAAATATGAAGTTCTTAGACCAGCGGAGAGCGTTCAAATGCCTTTGCCTTACCAAATGGATTCTCATTCAGAAATGGATTTGACAAATAAACAGTAAAATGTCCAAGAACAATTGTTTTCCAAATTTCTGAGCAATAAATACATGTTTCTACAGAGTGTTACGCAATGATGCGGAATCCGAGAATTTTTAGAACACGGCAGGTGTTTACTTAGTCCCCGGGTCCTGCCCCCAGTGTGGGACACCGCCCCCCCCCCACCCGCCTCAGTACCACCAAGACACGGGCTGTGGTCTCTTCCAGCACATCCCGAGGCAGGCTGAACTGCCTGTGGTTTCCTATTTGAGCAATACTCCTTGGAAAGTTCTTCTGTTAATTGGAAATCCTCCCTTCTGTAATTTCCCCATCGGCCCCAGGTCTTCCTTCTGGAATTACAAAGGATTCGTACAGTTCTTTTTTCAAAGAGAGGAGGACAGCTCTCAACTTGTAACGTTTCACTTTTCTCCACCCAGGCTTTCCTGGTGCCTTCGTCTGCTGCCGTGACCCACTCTTAAGACCGTCTTCTCAAAGAAGCCATTTTCATGGAGGCATATCAAAGGTCCCTTGTTCCTACAGAGAGTCACCCCGTACTTTCCACATCCATCCTTGTGTTTCTGGAGGGGGCCACATCCAGGCCCATGCCTAGCATGCCTCGCTCTTGCCATTGGCTCCAGAAAGGGGAATCACTTTGGGGAAAAAGTTCCACTTCTTTGAAAACAGCCAGGGAGCTCACACTTGGCTCACCCCGGCTCAGATGTTCAGGCTCTGTTGGAAGAGAAAACCCAGCATCCTGAATCCACCAGGGTCTGGCAGAAATCTCTCAAGAGAAAATGGCTTGATTTTAAAATTTTAACTGCCTTTGTCATTTTCCTGCCAGGCCAAACCTTGTATAAATGTGCTTTTAATTAAGTAAGAGCTTTGCTTATCATTCTCCTGCTCTGTTTCGTTTCCAGCAACTGCGTCAAATCGTCTCAGTCAACTTCTCCCATTAACATGAAGGCTGCTGGTGCACGGGAGGCCTTGACAGGAGCCAGCGGTGCCCGCCTCGTTTTGCTTGTCGTGGCGGCCTGGCTGCTGGCTGGCGTCTTGACTGTGGCGTGATGGATGGCGTGCTGCCGTGGGCAGGGCCACCAGGGGGACCTGGCTGGTGCCGCACATGTCTGTCGCCTGCCTGAGTCCAACCTGGGTGAACGCAGAGGACACTCCTCTGGGGTGAGGTGAGGTCAGCAGAGAAGCTCTCGTTCCTTGCTCCAAAGGACACAGCTGCAGAGTGTTTTGGCTGTGGGGGTTTGTCGCTGTCCCAGAGTCGGAACTTGGAACAAAGTGTCTCTTCTCCAAAATTTAAAAAAAAAAAAAAAAAAAAAAAGGTTAAAAGAAAGAGCAACAGAAACACAAATAAGGTGAGGAAAGTGCACCCAGCCTGCTGTGTGATGCAGGAGGAAACACCGGAGTCACCTAGAATGAGTTGTTGAAATTATTGTGGCAGGTGCTTTCTCGCCACACCGGGCTGGGTGACATTTCTCCATTCTAACAAAAATCCCAGCATTTTCCGAGGGGTGTCAGTTGAAGGACATGATTTCAACCGAGCACCCAGGTGTGCTGACCAAACCTCCATTGGCAAGTTCTGACGCCTGCTTTCTTCCAAGGTAAATATTGACTCTAACAGTGGGTGAAAATCTGTCCCTTCAGGTTTTGTGAGCACCCCCTGACAAACGCGTTCTGTGAGCGGGAATCATGGGACAGGGTTGTCAACTCAGACCCCATGTTAAGCTGTCATGCAGGTATTTGAAAACAGTGCTTGGTGACACTGATTTCTTTTGCGTTAAGGAGGCTGGCGTTCTAGATCGGCCCCTGGGCCTGAGAGCTCAGCTGTTTGCTTGGGTCCCAAACCTTTTCTTGTGTCTGGAATTTCGGGAAAAGCCATGGTCTCCTTGTGTCCGCGGGCTAAGCCCATGGGTCCGAGTTTGCTTCTGCGGTTTCAGGAGTGAATTTCTTTCCACGGATCACCCAAAATAGGAATTTAAGTGCCTCCTGGCAGAAGGCTGACTGCTCTCTTTGTCATATTGCGATGAATGCTTTGGTGTACTACAGGGACCCAGGTTACGGAATGTCAGATCACCCATTACACATCATGCTTCTCCTGATGACAGACTCACGGACGAGGGCACTCAAAGCCCCACAACGAGTGGACGTCTAAGCTGCACCCAGGTTCCTGGGACTGATGGGCCCCACCCCGCCCCCCTACTGTGGCCTCCCAGGATCCTCCAGACCCTTGGGCGGGGGTGGGGGGGGGCTCTGACCTGGGCAGGAGGAGAGGGATGCCCTCCCTGGGCATGGTATAGGGTTGGGGGGAGGGGAAGCAAAGTCTCAGGCCTTGTTGGCCTGTTTGGCGCCCCTCTGTTTTGGGGTTCACGCGGTGGGGAGAGCAACCCCTGCCTGCTGTCAGTGCCTTTCTGGTATCTCCATGCTCCCTGACTCCCCCAGTGTTGATACAGTGACTGGGTCTCCCCCACCACCGCCCGCCCAAGCGCCCCTCTGCAGTTCTGTGGATTCCCCCTCCAGGGGCCCCAGCAATGGTGGCCAGAGCAACCTGTCAGAGAGGATATGGTTTTCCAGACTGAAATACATCAGAGCCCCATCACCCAGCGGTGATCTCAGGCTTTACCCCCTAATGTAGGGGTGGGGGCAACGGGAACTGGAGCTCCAGACTCTGATCTTTCAGAAGAATTCCTCAGACTACATGTGAGCTCATCTTCTCCACAGGGCAAGCAATTCCCACCCACTTCCTTCTGGATCCCAGCTCCAGAACAAAGAGACCAAAAGAAGCAGGTTGCCCGGCTTCATTCACCTCACCTGTAAATGCGGGAGCCCCTTCTCCAGCTGCCCCTACTGCGGGGCATGGATCTGGTGAGCATTCCAAGAGGGTGCATCATTTCAGTGACCCGTCACCCAGTTCATCCCCAACAAGCAGGAGACTCTCCACCGGAAGTGCCTGCAACATATCTTCATGCATGCCCAAGGGCATCGCTAATGGAAACCGGAGAACACCTAGGATGTCCCCCACCTTCCCCCGTGAGAGGAACAGGCTCTGTTGATCTGGAATAGATGTTTGCAAATCAATAAACAGTTGGTCGGATGGCTGCTAAACATTTCTTGTAGAAGGAAAGCGAAGTAAGGGGTAGTTCACACGAGGTGATACCATTGCTGTAGAAAAAGGATCAAAGGGGCACGTTGACCCCATCTGTTGGTTATTGGTTTTCTTCAAAGAAATCCTACCTCTTGTGACCACTGGAATAGTCTGATATGAAATACATAGAACAAAGCCCGGTGTGCATCAGAGGGAGGCAAGCCATAAGAGACTCTTAAGTACAGAGAACAAACTGAGGGCTGCTGGAGGGGAGGTGGGTGGGGGGTGGGTTCAATGGGTGATGGGGAGGGGTGCCTGGGTTGTTCCGTAAGTTAAGCACTTGACTCTTGGTTTCAGCTCAGGTCATGATCTCATGGTTTGTGAGTTTGAGCCCAGCATGGGGCTCCATGCTGGCAGCGTGGAGCCTGCTTGGGATTCTCTCTCTCCCTCTCTCTCTCTGTGTTCTCCCCCACTCACACTGTCTGTGTCTCTCAAAATAAATAAATAAACTTAAAAATTTATTTTAAAAAGAAAAAACAAGTGGGGGACGGGCATTAAGGAGGGGACTTGTTGGGATGAGCCCTGGGTGTTATATGTAAGAGATGAGTCACTGGGTTCTACTTGTGAAGCCAAGATGACACTGCATATTCACTAATTTGAATTTAAATGAAATACATTTTAAAAATGGTGTAATTTCAGATTTTGGAAGCACTTTTCCACAGGAAAGACCGAGAAAGAAGAGGGAGAAAGAGACAGAAGAGGCCAGGGCCAGATGGATGGTTCCCAGAGAGGGAACACGCCTGGGCTCCCAGTTGAGGACAGTGACAACAGACCAGGTCAACATTTAGTGCCCCAAGTGGTCTAAAGCACGGTGCTAGTTACAATACAAGATACCAGCTGGAAAGGGAAACACCGGATTGCCTGTCATCTGGGCATCGTTCTGGGTCGGGTTGGGGGGGTATCTGAGCAATTTTGCAATAAATCACCCACCTGACTATAGAATAACAGCTTTTTTGCTTCCTCAGCTAAGGCAACTTACCTGTCCCAATGTCACCTCAGGGCCTGGGCGTCCCCCAAACCAGAAATCAATAGAAGGAGAGGCCAGACGAGGGTGTGCAGTGTAGCCTGGAATTGCTCGAGTGGGTCTGAAGAAACCAGACGTCTTCAGGACGGGGCTGACAGGGGCATGCTACCCCAGCTGCTCTGGTCCTCACGGAGAAACTGACCAATGGAAACACAGGTTGCGTTTTTTTTTTTTTTTTAACTTTATCAATTCCCTAGAACAAGTCCCCCACAGCATTTGTTTTCCATTTTTAAGCTGTTACAAGAAAAATGGAGTGAGAACAGATGCCCCCCACATGTGTCCCTCATCTGAATCTACTCAATTGCCCCTCCGTCCCTTGGCTGCCTGGCCACTTTCCTCTCCTCTGATGGTGATCCTTAACACAGGGGCTACCCTATCATCAGTCACCTTCCAGACAGACTCCATAGATTTCAAGCGTTAAAATCGGAGAATTCCCCACACGATCATTTTATTGGGGGGGAAGAAGAAAGGAGAGCAGGAGAAGAAAACAAATTAAGTACAGCTTACATTTTCCACGCCCTCTGCTGATGCTAGATCTTGGCCAAGCCTCCTTCTTACCATGTGTTCCGCGTGTTGAATAACAAACTGAAAGGTTCGTTTCCAGGGTTATGTTACTGTTGGCTGATAGCGTATCATTTCAAGGGGGTCCATTTTTCTCAGCTCCTGCTCAAATCACTTTGGCAAGTTTAATCTGGTCTAACAGTTTTGCTATTTACAGCTGGAATTTCTGTATCTTAAGAGCGCCCTGGGAATTTCGCTGAGTGGCTAAAAGATTGACTTCCAGCTCTGAACCAGGTGGAAGAGGGGAAACATACAAAATATACAAGGGGGTGTATCGCTGAATTATCTCTGCTCTAAGAGCATTCCTATGGGCACAGGGATTAATTCCTGGTCTTCAAGCAGTAGAACACCCCCAAAGCCACAAGAGGGGAGCTCTGTGCTGGGAAACATGGGGGTTGGGAAGAGCACAGTCCCGGGCTCACTGATTTACCAGCCCTGTACTCTGGGGTGTATTCCTTGATCTCTCTGGGCTTTCTTTTCTTCATTTGCGGAATGGGGTTAATAAATCCCACCCTGGAGGGCTGTCCTGGGGATGGAACAGGTGATTTCCCAGGAAACATTACATCCACAAGTCTCCTCCTCCTCCTCTCTCTCTCTCTCTCTCTGTCTGTCTGTCCCTGTTTAGATGTATCTCCATCCCTTCTCTATCCAAACCCCTTTCTCTTGCTTTTCCTTTCTTTAAATGTGTTTTGGATGATGCAGAGCTTGGGAATTATGAGGGGGATCAGAGGAATTGTGACCCCCAATCCTCACAGATGACTCCATAGTTGATAAAGCTTTTTTATAAGTTTGACTCATCCTAGTCTTTTTTTTAATTTTTAAAAATAATTTTTTAACGTTTATTTATTTTTCAGAGACAGAGACACACAACACAGTTGGGGAGGTGTGGAGACAGAGGTGGACACAATCTGAAGCAGGCTTCAAGCTGTCACCACAGAGCCTGACGCAGGGCTTCAGCCCACAAACCGTGAGATCATGACCTTGGCTGAAGTCAGACACTTAACTGAGCCACCCAGGCGCCCCTGACAGTGACGATCATGCTGGTGACAGTGGCACTGAATGTTGACGGTCATGGCCGCTGACAATGCCGCAGGCTTCCTTGTGCCAACACTCTGTGAAGTGGTCCAACATACAGTCACTCACCTAATACTCACAACATCTTACTTGGTAGGACCATTTCCCCATTTTATAATCGGGATGCAGTTCAGAGATACCCAAGGTCACAAAGATGACTCCAGGAGGCTCCATATCAAATCTCGGTCTGATTCTTTTTGCTATCTCAGGCAATAGATGGCAATAGAGAGGAAATAGTCCCTTTGCAGGAAACGATGTCATAAGGAAGACTTTTAAAGGAAGAGACAGTAAGAGCATTCAGCAAATACCTTAGATGTCTATTAAGACTGGCCAGCGCACGGGACATTGGGGAGCCCTTGAAGTCGCCCACATGAGAGATGATGGGAGCAGGTGTATCTTTTGTTCCTCGTCTATTTCCAGGCCCTTTGGCTGCTTGTTCTGCAGCGGCCACCACTCTGACCAGCTCCGTATGGATTCCAAGGAGTCACGTCGGCACAGTCCTAGGGTGCCTCCCTGCCCACCTCTCCTCCCGCCCCAGCGTCCATACGTGTGCAACCTGCAAATTCATGGGGAATTAGAGTCCCATGGCACGAACTTTAGATCAGTGCAGGATGCAGGCAAGTAGAGTTATTTCTCCTTCCTTCCTCAGAACGAATTGTTCTCAGACTCAAGCATTCTTAGGTCCTTCAGGAAATGGTTCCATAAGGACTAGCCAGCAAGGACACTTGTGACAAAGTGGAGGTCATCTGCTGACACCCCGACCCTCCGATTGGCTCTCTCTTTTCCCCCCTGGCTTACTGCTCTCCCTGCTCACGGCTGTTTTCCAGGGAATGCACCCTCTGGTAGAGTAACGAGCATGCACGATTCTGCCTTGGACCCTGCTTGCTGGGTCACCCAGGCCGCGACACCAGGACTGGGGCAATAGGCATCAAGGTTGGGAAGGGGCCTACTATCTAGCCACATTTAAAAAGGGAAAGGACTTGATGACTGGAGGTGAGTGTAAAGAGTCGAGGATGGCTTCCAAGCTAAATTTTAGTGAAGTGATGCCTTCTTAAAAAAAAAGAGGTCACCATTAGTGGGCTACTTTCTTAAGAACTTGCCTCTGTGTAGCAATTTCTAGCACCCACCATCCTTGACCTTCTGCAGAAGTTGGGTGGCAATCTGTTTCCTAACAGCAATCCCGTGAAGTGATTGTGTGATGGGAGTAGGAGTGACTTTTAATATTTGGATAGAGGGATGCCTGGGTGGCTCAGTCAGTTGAGCTTCTGACTTGAGCTCAGGTCACGATCCAGAGGTTTGCGTGTTCGAGCCCCGTATCAGCCTCTGTGCAGACAGCATGGAGCCTGGAACCTGCTTCGGATTCTGTGTCTCCCTCTCTCTCTGGCCCTCTCCTGCTTGTGCTCTCTCTTTCTCAAAAATAAATAAACATTAAAAAATATTTGGAGGGGTGACTGGGTGGCTCAGTCGGCTGAGCGTCTGACTTCGTCTCGGTCATGATCTCACGGTTCATGGGTCTGAGCCCCACATCGGGCTCTGTGCTGACGGCTCAGAGCCTGGAGCCTGCTTCGGATTCTGTGTCTCCCTCTCTTTCTGCCCCTCCCTGCTTACACTCTGTCTTTCTTTCTCTCTTTCAAAAAATAAATAATAAACATTAAAAAATTTAAAAAATTTAGATGAAATCCTATAATTTGGAGGGAATTTTGTTTAATTTCTTCAGATGACCCATGAAGTAACAAGGTAAATATTACTGTTGTTGTTTATATCTGATAACTCTGAGGCACAGAATCAACAATCCTCCTGGCCAAGAACAGACAGCTCCTCAGCAAGCTGTGAGTTCGGGCTCCTGGAGCCATGTTTCTTTGACCAGCAAGCCCCTGGTAGGCACCTGATCCTCAGTGATACCGCTCCGTCTTTAGGGTCCTCATTCCCTTCTGATGCAGGGACCCCCTTTTGAGATAACAGAAACTACAATTCTTCAAGTGTGGGTGGGCTTGTGATTTCCTTCTTCAGTGTAAGCCTCTCACGGATTCTCAATAGTACAGGCGGTCAAATCTTTGGTTAATGCTTTTCCTGTACATACAAGGAGAGATTATGCCATGCTCATTGATAGAAAAATCCAAGATTGTAAAAATGCCAGTCCTAACTAAAGGAACCTATGGATTCAATACAATCCCAATAAAAACCCCCAAAGGTCTGTTTGGTGGCATTTGATGAGCCTGGTCGAAAACTGCAGAAATTCAGAGGACCAAGACAGCCGAAGCAATCTTAACGAAGAACGAAAGAGTTCCTTCACTTCTCTGCAGATCCCTTCTTTTAAATTCTGCTCAGAATATACCTTTGCCAGGGAGCCTGCATGGTACTGCTTACCCAGGCCAGATCAGTCCCCGCGGTCCACAGGAGTCCACTCGACAGTTCCAATTTGCGCTCTGCGGTTCTGCAAAATTATAACTAGTAAGTCTCTGCATCTTTATGGGACCCAGAAGCTCTTTCCCGCATTGTCCGTCTGGGCTTCACGGCGATGCTATGAATTGGGCGGAGTAGATACTGTCACTGATATTTGACAGCCCTTCCTTCCATCACCCTGTGAGGGGAGTGGCCAGGATCCACAGCCAGCCCCTCCCCTTCCCTGGCTGCCTGCGGTCCATCCACAGGGCATCTCCCCTCTCCCTGCCCCCAAGACACCCCACGGAACTCTCTGCAGTACTGAGCTCAGGACTTGGCTCCATAAGCCCCAGCTCTTACCGATTATGACAGCCTGTCCTCAAAGGACATCGAAACTGACAGGACATTCCTCTAAGAGTCGGAGGGAAAGGGCTGTGTCCACATTGTTTACTATGTGGTGTTGTCCATTTGTGCAACGTCTCCTTCCGTAAACATTTGTTAAGTGCCACCCACAATTGTTCCCACTGCCGCCTGCCCCTTACTGGACGCTCGTTCTGCAGGCATCGTGGGGCCGAGAGGAAGATATCCTTTCCCCACTGAGTTCTCATTGTTACGGGGGTTAAAGCAGATTACCCGTCAAATAATAGTGGGATCTGAGCTGTTGATAGGCACACACGGGGTGTCATTAAAGCTTCCCCAAGGAGAAGTTGGGCCAATTAAATGATTACATTTCCCTTCTTTTTTTTTTTCTGAAGATCCACCAGAAGGAAACTTGGACATGTGACAAAATCTGTAGGTTCTCTGGAAAAACTCTCGTTCTGCTGTTTTTCTGTTCCCACTGAGGTGGTCCAGGTCTGTGACCGAACCCCAGCCCTCCCTCCACTTCCTTTTGTATCTTGCACACTCTGCCAGATTGGCCTTAAGCACACAACTTTGTTCCTCCGCTGTCTGCGTTGGCTCCCTACTGCCTTCAGCAACATTTACTTACTCTCTGCTCCCTACAAAAGCTACATTTGGCACCACGAGTGGCTTGGCCACCAAAAGTCTCACAGGGAAACTAAAGTAGCTGATACAGATTTATTTCCTTAATCAAGCATCAACCTAAACGTGACTTTTTCAGGTGCGCCCTCCCTGGAGGCATGGCTGCAATCCCTTCTTCTATCACATCAATCCTAACAGATATACAGAAGCAGAGGTGAACTTTCCAGCGTCTGTCTCCTGTGCTAGATGGGAAACTCTAGGAAGACAATGACAGCGTCTGTCCTGGTTGCCACCACGGCTGCGGCTGACAGAGCGTGGGCACATGAGTCGCGCCTCATAGATGGTAAGGGCATGGTTACTAGTTCCGAGACTATTCTCAGCATTTGGAAGTTTCCATCCAGGCCTTTTCCATACAGACTCCTCTGTATCAGGATTGATGGGAGAAGCTAAAAGAAATACAAATAGCTTGAAACTCAGCCTAAGACCCCAGGGCTTGTACGTTACTGGAAGAGACAGATATTAGCATGGGTTCTGAGTCTGGGCTCCTGTGTGCCACCTCCTTGAAACCCCGTGGGGCACAGGGCCATTATCTTACATCAGGACGTCTCTCTAGTCCCGCCCCCACCATTCAACGTC